ACAGTATCCTGAGCCCTACAGCATCAGAGATCGCAGTCCTCAGGTGACTATGCCCCCCAGGATCCGCCCCCCCCCCCGCAAGGCCTTTCTCAGTTCTAAGAGAAAGGAAGGGGGGCGTCTCTTGGCGCCCTGCTTGAGGGGCGGGCAGGACTGCCCAGCTGTCTCCGGCTCACTTCCCTCCCCTCCTCTCCCCTCCCCTCTGATATTCAGCCCCCTCTGCTCCCGGACCATTGGGGGTCAGAAAGACAGCTCGGGGCAGGCGGCTGGGGGAGGGCAGCGTCCTGTGTCTGTTGTTGCTACGGGGCCCCTCCCTGCGCCCAGGTCCAAGGCGGCGTGTGGCTGCTGAGCCCTGGCCTCTGTGACACGCTCATGGCCATGGACGTTATGCTGTGCACAGCATCCATCTTCAATTTGTGCGCCATCAGCGTGGACAGGTAGGCTGCCCCCACCGCCCCGTCCCCTGTAGGGCCGCCCCGGCCCCGCCGCCCTCACCACGCTCCCCGCAGGTTCGTGGCAGTGGCCGTGCCGCTGCACTACAACCGCCAGAGCCGCGGTGGCCGGCAGCTGCTGCTCATCGGCGCCACGTGGCTGCTGTCGGCAGCGGTGGCGGCACCCGTGTTGTGCGGCCTCAACGACGCGCGCAGCCGCGATCCCTCCGTGTGCCGCCTGGAGGACCGCGACTACGTGGTCTACTCGTCCGCGTGCTCGTTCTTCCTGCCCTGCCCGCTCATGCTGCTGCTCTACTGGGCCACGTTCCGGGGCCTTCGGCGCTGGGAGGCAGCCCGCTGCGCCAAGTTGCACGGCCGTGCAGCCCGCCGCCCCAGCGGCCCCGGCACGCCGCCCCCCGACGGCACCCCGGCCCCCGACGCCGCCGTGCCCCCGGATGCCATCCCGGCCCCAGACTGCATCCCGGCCCCTGACGCCGCCGTGCCCCCGGACGCCCCCCCGCCCCCCGACGCCACCCCAGCCTCGGATGCCATCTTGCCCTCGGAAGCCATGCCGGCCGAACCCCCGCTGCCGGCCCGCAGGAGGAGACGCGCCAAGATCTCGCGCCGGGAGCGCAAAGCTATGAGAGTCCTGCCTGTGGTGGTCGGTGGGTACCGGCCGGGGGACGTGGGCAGAGAGGGGAAGACTGCAGCGCCCAGGGTGTGAGGCGGCGCCCGGGGCGGGGGGCGTGGCAGGGAGCCGCTCACGGCAGCCCCAACCCCGCCCCCAGGGGCCTTTCTGCTGTGCTGGACGCCCTTCTTTGTCGTGCACATCTCCCGGGCGCTGTGTCCCACGTGCGCCGTGCCCCCGCGGCTGGTGAGCGCGGTCACCTGGCTGGGCTACGTCAACAGCGCCCTCAACCCCGTCATCTACACCGTCTTCAACGCTGAGTTCCGGACCGTCTTCCGCAAGGCTCTGCGCCTCTGCTGCTGAGCAGACCGCTGGCACCGCAGCCCCTCTTCAGCACCCTGCCTCGCCTGGGGGTTTGTAGGAGTAATTAAACAGATGCCCAACACCTGCTGGGAAGGCTCTTGGAGGCGGGGGAGGGGGCAAGGAGGAGGACCTCAGGCCTCCACTAACCCTCATCCGGCCAGTTAACCCCTTCCTTCCTTCGGAGGAAGCCCAGAGACGAGACCCCATCAAGCCAGGTCTGCCCTGCCCCAGAAGCCTTGGGAACAGGGCCGGCCCTTGCCTGGGAAGACTGCCCCGACTCACACCCTCCCCGAACAGGTTCCCTCCCCCACACACCCGGCCAGCTGCAACCCACCCCGACCCGACAGCTGTTCCCAGGCCAGCAGCCTCCTTCCCTCGTCCTGGTGGCCCCATCCACTGTCCCTGCAAAATGCAGCTGACCTGCCCCTGCCACTGCTTTGGCAGCTGCCTCAAGGTCGGAGCACAGCTCCCTGCCAGCTCCTGACTTGCTGATAGATGCCCAAAGCCTGGAGAAACAGGGGGCCTGGGTGCTGGGTGGGCTCACGGAGGCAGCCTCCCTCCAGGGAGGGCCAGCGCAGGCCCACAAGGCACTCAGCCAACCTCTGCCCACTTGGCTGGGAGCAAGTGGGCAGAGCAGGGAGTGGCTGCCCATCTCCTGCCCACAGCGTGCACCCCCCCCGCAACCCGAGGCAGCCCCACTTGGACTTCACCTGGACCCTCCCAAGTCACCCGCCATGGGCACCCGCTGTTCCCAATACTGTGGCTGAGCGCTCCTGTCAGGAACTGTGACCAAGCCGGCCAGTGCCGGGTGCCAAGTTCTCTGAACATGAGAAACCATGGGCTGTGAGAGCCACGGCATCAGGCCCACCCTCAGCGCGCTACACTATTCCGCGGAGAGGAGGGCCGCCCTGTCCCCCTCTCTGGGTGAGCCCCGTTTCCCGCTCAGACTCTCAGCTGCCGCCTCCTCTGAGAAGCCCCGCCTGACCACCCCCCAGGACCAGCCTGCCCCACCATCCTGGGAGAGACTGGCCCTCGAGGAACCGAGTATTGATGGACTGGGGGCCAGTATGGGGTGCTGTGTCCCTGCACCACACAGGGACCAACACAAAATGGGAGTGGGGGAGGGGGCCCAGGGCCGGACCCCAGGTCTGTTGGCTGCTTCAGCTTCCAGCACCTTCTTGCCTGTGAAGCATGAGGATGGTTGCAGCGGATACCCTGGGGCTCCTCCCAGGAGGAGCCCCAGATGGCACAGCCTCACCCGGGCAAGACACTTGCTTCAGAGCTGGGTTGGTGGTCCCTCCTGGGAACCTCAGACTTGAAGGGACCATCAGGCTGACAGCAGGGTCAGGGTCAGGGTCGGAGCAAAGGGCCCCTGACTGCAGCCGCTAGCCCTGCCACCTGGCTCGTCCCTCAGGTCCACACCCCACGCCCATGCCCTGCCACCCATCTCTGATGTGCCCCGACGTGCACCTGCCGGGCCTTCCGTGGTCACTCCAGGTGGTCAGAGCTGGTGTCTGCCACTGCCAAGAGGGTGTCAAGTAGCAGCACCCCTGCCCGCCAGCCGTGGGCACCAGCCGCCATGCCCACCAACCCCGGGGTCTGTGTGGAGCAAGGCCACGTCCCCCTCCACGTCCCCTTCTCATCTCCTATACTAGGGATGGGGTGACCGTGCCCCCGACAGGCCAGGCCAGTAAGTGCACCTCTTTCAGAGGTGGGGCTGCAGATGGGCTGGGATCTGCGGGTGTCCGGCGCTGTCCCTGCTGGCCCTGTGGGCAGACTCCTGTGTCCCCCAAGAGGGGGACAAGGCAGGCACAGGGGGGACAGCTGGACACGGGGGAGTGACAAGGTGGGCACAGGGACAAGGTGGGCAGGGGGAGGACAAAGGGGGCACTGGGAGAACAGGTGCAGATATACAGAGCCTGGCTGACCCGGGGGCTCAGCAGGTGCCTCGAGGGTCCCAGGCCCACTGATGCCAAGCGTCGCCGCAGCCTCAGCTCAGAGGACCCGCAGCACCCGGACAGCTGCCGCACCGCACAGTCAGAGGCCTTGGCCTGGCCCCCGCGGCTGAGTCTGGCAGAAGCCATCAGAAGTGCTGACACAGAACTGAGGGTGTCAACGCACCCTTGGCGCCTGGATGGCAATTTCCAGAAGGATCCTGATGTCCAGGGTTATGCAGAGATGGCTTCAAAGGCTTAGAAACGATACACTTTGGAAAACCGCCCACAACACGTGCGGTGCCCAGGCTTCTACGTTAAGGAGAAGGAGAGGAGAAGCCGCCCCAACCCCAGGAAACCCTCGCCCAGGATGGCTTCCCCGCAGGGCCTGGCCCCAAGGCCTCCCAGTCTGCTCACAGGGAGGCCGCTGCCTGGAGCTGGACGCCAGGGAGGGACCTGGAAGCCTTTCCCTGTGGGCGCTGCCCACCTAAGTCGCCATTTTAGCCTTTTCAGGTTTGGGGGGGTTCCTTCTGGGGGTGCAGCCCCTTCTGCTGAGGCCGACGTGGCCCCCACCCCCAGTCCTCACTTCCCACCACCTTCATGCTGTGCAAACCCCAGGGGCCGGGCCTGGCCTTCCCCAAGGTGGTGGACAGGCAGGACGACAAAACAAATAAAACCCAAATAAACCCGCTTAGTCCGCAGAGGCCGATGGAACGGAGACAGAGGGGCTTCTGGGGGGCAGGTCCTCCCCCACCTGGAGCCAGGCTGGGCACAGGGGGACGGGCGTGGGTGCCACCCCCTTGGCTCACTGGGGAGCCCATGGCCCAAAAGGCAAGTCTCCATGTGCTATGAAGAACCTTCTGGAAGCAGGAGCCGGGAGGCGTGGGGCCGGAGGTGTGAACGAGATGCAACAGTGAGGCGAGTGTCGGGGTCAAAGTCCATCTCTCAGTGCACAGAAGACGGGGCACCGCAAGCTTTCCTGGAACCCAGGCTTGGGGACAAGCTGGGCAGGGTGCCGGGAAGGGCAGGGACGAGGCCCCCAGCCCACGAGAGTTGGGCGAGGATAGCCGGGCGCAGGCAGGAGCCACCCTGGGTAGATCCCCAGGGGTCCCGGGCGCGCTCTGTGCAAAGGGAAGGTGGCACGTCCAGACGCCGAGCCGTCCCTGAGACTGGACGGCAGCTCGGCCTTCCCGGCTGGCAGCTCTGGGGCCCCAGCTCCTGGGCAGCAGGTGCCAGCCTCCCGTCCTGCCGGGCTGGGCCCCATCCGGTCTCGGCTTGTGAACTGCACGATCGGGCCCCCGGGCCTCGGGGAGGTCGGAGCTTGGAGTCACCAGTCCGCGTGGGGCAGGGGCGCCAACTTTACTGACAGACACATGTATGTACACGCGTGTTACGGAACATGACACACCCGTAGGGAAGACCGGACGCTCACGATCCAAGCGATAAAAAAAGCACCGCGAGCGGGCATCGAGGGCCCAGGCCGCGTCCACCGGCCGCCCACCCGCCGGCTCGGGGCCTGGCAGCAGGAGCGCGCCGCCCAGGCGCCGGTCTCGTGACGTCCACTCGTAACCTGGCCAGCCACTTCCTCCTCGTCCTCAGTGGCCCCCGTCCTCGGGTCTCCTTCCTGGCCACAGAGGCCCCGCGAGCCCTCACACGGTGACCTTCTCGATCACACCCTCGGCGACATGGATGTCGTCCCCCTGCACGGTGACAGCTCCCGACTGACCACACATGTGCTGGTGGTCCTTCCAGTCCTGAAAGGAAGGACAGACTCCGTGTTACGGTTCCGAGTGAGAAGGCTGTGCCCGGGAGTGGGTGTGCACGTGCTGAGCGGCCAGCCCTCCGGGGCAGGGGGCTCCCAGTCTCGCCCACCCTCCTGTTTAGGGACCTGCTCCGAAGGCAAGTACCCAGGACGACCCTTGAGACACGTCCATGCTCTGATCCTGCTGCTTCCTCCCTGGGATCTACACGAAAACACACACCTGCAGAGGCATACTCGTCTCTGATGGTGCTGCCCGCCGTATTACTTATCATCGCAAAAGTGAAAACACTGCGCCGGAGCCAGCCACGTGTCCACAGAGGGGCTGGGAGGCCGTGGCCCCCAGGGAGGTCGGGGAGGACGTCCACCCCCCCCGCCCCGCAACGCCCCCTGTCAGGGTGGGAGCTGCCGTCGCCCGTTCACGGGCGGGAAATGCAGCCGAACTTGGCCTGGAGCAGGGCTCGCTCTGGGGGCCCGACGGGGCGTGGTTAGTGGAGACACAGACCCCAAGACGCACGGAGAGGTTAGGGTTTGGTGAGCCATGACAAGGCTTGAATGAACATCACACACACTCGGAAGAACAGAGACCAGCGGTGACCCCCAGAGGGCAGGGTTCCAGCTGCCTATCTTCGTGCTGTCCTATGTCTTCCAAATTTTCTACAACGTGTTGCCTTATTTTTATAATAAAAAAGTAAAATTTCAAATCATTACAGGCATACCTCAGAGACATTGCGGGTTCAGTTCCAGAATAAATCAAATGTAGCAATAAAGCAAGTCACACAAGATTTCAGGTTTCCCAGGGCTTATACAGATCACTTTTACACTACACTGTAGTCTATTAAGTGTGTGACTGTACGAACCTAATTCAAAGACACTCTATTCCTAAAAATGATAACCTTCACCTGAAAAGGCAGGGCTGCCGCACACCTTTAATTTGTAAAAACACAACATCTGAGAAGTGCAATAAAACAAGGTCTGCCTGTATATCAAAAGAATAAATTTTTTTAAATTTATTTTTTATTGAAGTTTAGTTGATTTACAGTGTTGTGTTAATTTCTGCTGTACAGCAAAGTGATTCAGTTATATACATATATTTTTTCTTTTGCACATTATTTTCCATTATGGTTTATCACAGGGTATTGAATATAGTTCCCCATGCTATACATTAGGACCTTGTTGTTTATCCATCCTATGGATAATAGTTTGCAGCTGCTAATCCCAATCCCTCCCTCCCCTACCCCACTCCCTCTTGGCAACCACAAGTCTGTTCTCCATGTCTGTGAGTCTGTTTCTGTTTTGTAAATAATTTCATTTGTGTCATATTTTAGATTCCACATATAAGTGATATATGGTATTTGTCTTTCTCTTTCTGACTTACTTCACTCAGAATGCTAATCTCTAGGTCCATCCTTGTTGCTGCAAATGGCATTATTTCATTCTTTCTTATGGCTGAGTAGTATTCTGTTGTATGTATGTACCACATCTTCTTTATCCATTCCTCTGTTGATGGACATTTAGGTTGCTTCCATGTCTTGCCAATTGTAAACAGTGCTGCTACGAGCACTGGGGTGCATGTATCTTTTCAAATTAGAGTTTTCTCTGGATAAGTGCCCAGGAGTGGGATTGCTGGATCAAATGGCAACTCTATTTTTAGTTTAGTAAGGAACCTCCATACTGCTCTCCATAGTGGCTGCACCAATTTACACTCCCACCAACAGTGTAAGAGGGTTCCCTTTTCTCCACACCCTCTCCAGCACCTGTTATTTTTAGACTCAAAAGAATAAACTTTTAGTTTGTAAATTCCCTGACTATGTAGATTACCTGACTCTGGAAGTCTATACAGTATGTAAAACTTCATGTGTGCTGGGCTCAAGTCCACAGTGTTTCACACCATACCTAAAAATTAACTCAAGATGGGTCATCAATCTAAAAATAAGAGCTTAAAGGGAGTTCCCTGGTGGTCCAGTGGTTAGGATCCGGCACTTTCACTGCCATGGCTGAGGTTCAATCCCTGGTTGGTGAACTGAGATCCTGCAAGCTATGCTACGCGTCCGGAAAAAAAAAAAAAAGAGCTAAAATTATAAATGTTTTAGAGGAAAATAGGATATTTTCCCAACCTTGAGTCAGGCAAAAGTTCTGAGATATGACACCAAGAGCGTGATCTCCATTAAAAATGTTTTTTTAATAAACTGGACTTCTTGGGACTCCCTAGTGGTTAGGACTCCATGCTTCCACTGCAGGGGGTCCGGGTTTGATCCCCGGTCGGGAACTAAGATCCCATAAGCCTTATGGCATGGCCAAAAATAAAAAATAATAGATAATAAAATTTTTTTTTAAGTAAACTGGACTTCATCAAAATTAAAAAAACTTTTGCCCTTCAAATGACACTATTAAGAAATAAAGAAACAAGTCACAGACGGGGGGAAATATTTGGAAATCACGTATATGATAAAGGACTTGTGTCCAGAATATACACAGACACCTCCACACTCGGTAAGAAGAGAAACGATCCCATTTAAAAACGGGCAAAAGATCTGAATAGACACTTCCCCCCAAAAGATATACAACGCCCAATAAGCACACACAACGATGCTCAACATCTTTAGACGTCAGGGAGATGCAGACTAAACGCACTGACGTCGCTTCACACCCGGTAGAAGGGCTACGACCAGAAAGCAAAGAGCAAAGCGCTGTGGACATGGGTGGACCCGCCACTGTAGGGGGTGCAGTCACTTCGGAAAAGTTGGGAAGTTTCTTACTAAAGTTAAACACAAGTTTACCATATGACTCAGCAAATCCATGTACGCATGTAGCCAAAACAAACAAAAACCTGTCTCCACCCTGGAGCTCGCTCGTGAGTGTTCACGACAGTCACATGGCGGGAACCACTCAGACATCCGTTGGCGGAGGACTGGAGGACAAGACGAGGTCCAGCCACACCGTGGACGCTACTCAGGCTCCACGTGGATGAACCTTGAAAACACGCTGGTCAGAGGAAGCCAGATGCGGGAGACCACATGTTATACGACTCCTGCTACGTGAAATGTCCAGAAGAGGCAAATCTACAGAGAAAGAGATTCGTGGTTGCCAGTGGCTGGGGTGTGGGCCCGAGGGGGCTTTCGGGGTGATGGAAAGTTCTAAAACCAAATTGTCATGTTTGCACAAATGCAAGCTTACTAAAAACCACTGAATCGTACCCTTAAAATTAGTGGATTTTATGGTATGTATTATACCTCAATGAAGATGTAAAACATACACACACACACCCGACATGGGATTTGGAAAGAAAATAAAGTCTGCACGTAAAAGCCAAAACAATTCATGGCCCTTGTCCAACTTGTAAGAAGGTAACATTAACTACCTTTCCAGGTCTTTGGGGAGCACACAGAATTCTGGGGAGCACAGTGGGCAGGCCCAGAAGCTGTACTGTCGGCACCACCATTTATTATAAGGAGCCCAGAGCTTAAGTTTATTCAGGTCCTACTGAGTGTTCATGATGGATCCCACGTGAAAATTACGGTTTTTGAACTTCACTGTATACTGATTTTTGTGAATACTGGGTTGGCCAAAGAGTTTGTTTTTTTCCATAAGATGGCTCTAGTAGCGTTTAATTTTAACTTCATTCGAAACAATTTTGTTAGACTGTATTGTGACACCTGTCATATCACCATGCATTTAAAAAAAGGTTATCAGGGCTTCCCTGGTGGCACAGTGGTTGAGAGTCCGCCTGCCGATGCAGGGGACACGGGTTCGTGCCCCAGTCCGGAAGGATCCCACGTGCCGCGGAGCAGCTGGGCCCGTGGGCCATGGCCACTGAGCTTGCGCATCCGGAGCCTGTGCTCCGCAATGGGAGAGGCCACAACAGTGAGAGGCCCGCGTACCGCAAAAGAAAAAAAAAAAAAAAAGGTTATCAAAATTGGTGACTTTTTGGGTAGCCATTTTAATATTGAAGGAAAAAAGCAACATTTTTGGCATGTTATTCTTTACTATTTCAAGAAAGGTAAAAACGCAGCTGAAACGCCCCCCCCCCCAAAAAAAGACTTGTGCAGCGCGTGGAGAAGGTGCTGTGACTGATCGAACGTGTCAAAAGTGGTTTGCGGGGCTTCCCTGGTGGCGCGGTGGTTGAGAGTCCGCCTGCCGATGCAGGGGACGCGGGTTCGTGCCCCGGTCCGGGAGGATCCCGCATGCCGCTGAGCGGCTGGGCCCGTGAGCAATGGCTGCTGAGCCTGTGCGTCCGGAGCCTGTGCTCCGCGGCGGGAGAGGCCGCAGCAGTGAGAGGCCCGCATACCACATTATTTCAAGAAAGGTAAAAATGTGACTGAAACACAAAAAAAGGATTTGTGCAGTATATGGAGAAGGTGCTGTGACTGATCGAATGTGTCAAAAGTGGTTTGCGAAGTTTCGTGCTGGAGGTTTCTGGCTGGACGATGCTCCACGGTCAGGTGGACCAGTTGAAGTTGAGAGCGATCAAATCGAAACAATAATTGAGAACAATCAACGTTATACCACACGGGAGATAGCTGACACACTCGAAATATCCATACCAAGCCTTGAAAATCATTTGCATCAGCTTGGTTCTGGTTCATCGCTTTGATGTCTGGGTTCCACATAAGTTAAGCGAAAAAAACCTTCTTGACTATATTTCTGCATGCAATTCTCTACTTAAACTTAATGGAAACGTTCCATTTTTAAAACAAATTGTGACAGGCAATGAAAAGTGGATACTGTACGATAATGTGGAACAGAAGAGATCGTGGGGCAGCGAAATGAACCACCACCAACCACACTAAGGGCCGGTCTTCACCCAAAGAAGGTGATGTTGTGTATATGGTGCGAGTGGAAGGGAGTTCTCTATTATGAGCTCCTTCCGGAAAACCAAACGATTAATTCCAACAAGTACTGCTCCCCGTTAGACCAACTGAAAGCAGCACTCGACGAAAATCCTCCAGAATGAGTCGACAGGAAACGCATCACGTTCCATCAGGATACCACAAGACCGCATGTTTCTTTGATGACCAGGCAAAAACTGTTACAGCTTGGCTGGAAGTTCTGATTCATCCGCTGTATTCACCACACATTGCCCCTTCGGATTTCCATTGATTTTGGTCTTTACAAAATTCTCTTAATGGAAAAAATTTCAATTCCCTGGAAGACTGTAAAAGGCACCTGGAACAGTTCTTTGCTCAAAAAGATAAAAAGTTTTGGGAAGATGGAATTATGAAGTTGCCTGAAAAATGGCAGAAGGTAGTGGAACAAAACGGTGAATACGTTGTTCAATAAAGTTGTTGGGAAAAATAAAAAACATGTCTTTTGTTTTTACTTCAAAACCGAAGGAACTTTGTGGCCAACCCAATAAAACCAAAGCCTATGCCTTTATCAGGGCAGCGTGTCACAGGGGCACAAACCTAACACAATCAACGGAAAAAATGGAGTCTTTGTCAACAAGGTTATACCTGAAATATAACTGCCCAATTCACCAAGACAGGTTCCAAGACTGCAGCTTTCATTTAGACAAAATGTCATCTGGCTAAAACGACTCCGTCAAGAAATAAACCCACGAATCTTCCTCTGATGGTTCAGAGTCAGGGAAGAGTCACCGAGCAGCGCCCTCTCGGATCACGAGCCAGCAGGAGCCTGTCCACCCCGTCGGCTCCTCCTGGCTGCCTGGGCTCCTCCCAGCGTCCCCGAGCGCAGCAGGCATGCGGGCCCTCTCCTCAGCACACGAGCCATACATGACACCTGGGAAAGCAGACCTGTGGGTCTCTTTCCCAAGTCTCCCGCCCTGGGAACAGGCCAGAGCTCAGGAGCATAGCTGGGAGCCCCTGGACACGCCTTCCGTGCTGTGCGGACCCCTGCAGCCCCCCGGGAAGCCCTGAGACGCAGAGGAGGAAGATGCCACGTACCACACACCCTGGTCTTGGGGGTCATTCCTGCCCACCTCCCTCCCGAGGACATCTGAGGACGGGGCACTTTGGGAAGCCACCAGGCACACGGTCCCCTGTGCGGCAGAGGCTGTGTCCGCAGATGCAGCTCCAAGTCACAGGCACCAGGGGTGGGATATTCTACTATTTGTCCACCCGGCAAGTTACTTTTTTTTTTTTTTTTTTTTTGCAATAACAGATTAAAATTTTGCTGTCTCCTCTGCTTCAGACCTTCTCCCTTCCCCTACCTCTGCCAGCTCAGGACTGATCCAGGCATGGAAGCTCTTCCCGGACCGGGGCACGAACCCGTGTCCCCTGCATCGGCAGGCGGACTCTCAACCACTGCGCCACCAGGGAAGCCCAAGTTACCTTTTTTAATCGTGGAAAGTTTCTAAGAGGAGAGGATAAGCCCAGTCAATGGCTTAGCCCCTCACTCTGAGTAAAGGTGAGAAAAGTGATGAAAACCTGAAAAACCTGAACTAGCAACTGCTACTCCAGAACACTCTAATCTTCTTAGAATCAGACGCCTACACGTACAACCGCGCTGACCTTCAGGGTCTATGACGAGGCGTCCAGGGCTGGGAAGCACTGACCGCGACAAGGTCAAGGTCATTGGGGAGCAGTGGCCTCCACAGCCATGGCCTGTGTGGCTGCCTCGGGGCTTTGCCGGAGCCCAGGGACAGTGCAGAGGTGACACGGCGGGGGGGGCCTACCTTGCGCTGGCAGAAGGTGGAGCAGTAGTTGACCTTGTGGCAGCCGGTGCACTCGCTCAGGGCCTCCCGGCCGCAGTTGACACAGGACTGCTGCAAGAGGACACAGGCGTCAGTCGCGGGGACAGGCTGACCCGCGTCCCCGCCCCCCGCTGCCCAGACGCGGGGTGGGCACCTGCTGAGTGGGAAGCAGGGCTCCAGGTCACACCAATGTGCCAACCTTGCTCCAAGTACCAGGGGATTTCATTGCTACCAAGTATGTGTAGGAAACCAAACTGAGGAAGGCCAGGATTCTCAGTTGTCAGGATCGTCTCCTGAACGGTCAGGCCCTGCAGTCCCCCAGCCGGACCCTCATCACAGCCCAGGTGCCCCCGGCCCAGCCACGCGGCTCCATTAGGTGGGTCTTCTGTGTGTCTTCCCCACAAGACACGAAGGAGCCGCTCCTTCTAACCAGCCAGGGAGGGGGACTCCAGTGGCACCGCTAGCGCTGGTGTGTGCAGCCATGACCCGAGCTGTCCGGTGCACCTGGCTGCACTGACTGCAGGCCAGGCCCCTGCTCCCAGCCAGTGGGTAAGTGTGTGACTTGCACACCCATGAGCCACACCAGACGCCCGTTCATAACACCACTGACCGCCTCCCACCGCTACCCCCGAGAGTATATGCAAAGCAGCAAATTGCTTCTTGGTTCCTGTTGTAGGTTGCAGCTCCCTTCTCTGCCCAGCGCTGACTGACATGCTCCACCCCGAACCCCCGCCATCCGCCTCACTCGCTTCAGGAAACACGCGCATTACGGGGACTCTGAGATGCTACTCAGTTAGCGTGTCCCCTGTCCCTACTTTAAAGAACGAAATACTTACAGAAAAAACCGAAGGCTGTAACCACACACAGAAATTCCTCCAGGGAGAGCAAAGGTCTCACAGTTAGTGGGAGCAGAGGTGCGGCTGCCCGTGAGGCTGGGGGCCCCATAGACCCTCCTGCCTCTCAGCTTGGAAGTCCTCAGGGAAGCGGCCTCGTGTCACACCCTGTCCCCCGCGAGCCCGCGAGTCCCGCTCACCTGGACCTGCCATGTTGGTGTTCCTGGCACCAGCACAGTTCTTGGAAAACAGCGACTGCTCAGTAAATACCTCTTAACTGCATCAAATCCCGTGTCGTGAGCAGACCTCGTGGATGGGAGCCGCTCTTGTGCGCCGAGTACTTCGAACCCCGGGCTCCCAACACAACCCCTTGGGAATTCCTTCTTAACCCAAGCTAACCTGGGGCAGGAGATCTGGCTCAGACACGCCGGCTGACACAGACGGAGACGGACGGGCACAGAGCCCTAGGGCTGTGTCTGCACACACCGGTTGGACCCACTGCTTCCCTGCTGCCAGCCGAGAGCGCCCAGATCTTGGTTCCTAAGAGCATTCGTTCTCCAATAAAGGAACCAGGCTCCCTGGAGAAACGGTTGATTCCAGGGCTGGGGCGGGGAACCCCCAAGATGGGCCTGGAGCGTCTTCTAGCACCAGAAAGGAGGGAGGTGCTCTGAGCGGCAGGTAAGGGACGCGGGAGCCGACTGAGAGCTCCAGCCGCCAAAGCCAAACCGCGTGAGCAAAACAAGTACCACGGGTGCCATGAGCCCATCTTGATAGAAACAAAGGTGCAAACAAACGTACAAGAGACAGATCCCCCACGGAGAAGAATTCCCCTGTCCAGGAGGGGGACCCCCACCCAGGGTGACTAAGGGAGGAAAAGGGGAAATCACTTCACAGATGTAAACCTCCGATCTGCCCCAAGTGCACATGCTGGGCCTTGGGCCCTGGAGTGAGATGAGTCCGTGAGGGGGGCCAGGGGCTTATGAGAAGAGAGAAACCAGAAACCTTCCCCCCCGGCCCTGGCACGGCCAGGAGGCACGTCTGCAGCCTGGAAGAGGTGTCACTGGACCGACCCGCGGGCACCGGCTCTCTTCCGGCGCTGAGAACAGCGTCTGTGGTGCAGCCAGAGGCGCCGCCCAGACCGCCCGCCACTGCTACTCTTCGGGCCACAATTCCCTCTAGAAAAGGAAGTTGGGAAGATCATTGAAGGCCTGAGAAGGAGCCGGGAGGCATGAACAGAGGCCAGAGCATAGGGATAGGGCCCAGAGTGTGCGCGCTCCCCCAGCCGGGGCCGTGGCAGGCGGCCCAGCGCCCTGCAGCCACGTGGCTGGCTTGTGCTGGATGGACACAGCGCCCTTGACGGGAAGGGCGTCTGGTCTTCCGCCCTGTTTAATCTCTGCTGAGCTAACTATATACACACAACACAAATGCCCCATGGTTAAAACTGGCAAAATCTCCTTGATAGTTCAGCA